GTGGTTAAGCACTCAGCTGCTAACTGAATGGTCAGTGGTTTGTACTCACCAGCTGCTGCATGTGAGAAACATGTGGCAATCTGTTTCAGTAAAAACTTACGACTTGGAAAGCATGTGGTCACTTCTGCTTTGTGCAGGTTGCTCTGAGTTGGAATCAACTTGCCTTAATAGAATGTGACAACAGGGATGAAGCCACTTAGGATAATTGTGATTTGTCTCTGAGTAGTTATCATTTCAGTGATTGGAACCAGTGTAGGTAGCACATCCTTCTCTTTATCATAATACTAAGGAGTGAGCTGTCAGTTTAAAAGTAGAAAAATTAGATCTATTGATTGTCCTAAAAGACTTTCTGGTTCTAGTGCAAACTTTGACATTCACTGTTGAGTTTAGTAGTAAATACTCTAAATTTCTGGGGCTTCAGCCCATCTTGCAAGACTATAACAAGAATGAGAGGTGGTAACACTTCTCTCCTGGAAAATGATTCCTGCTTTTCCTAAATGAGCAGATGGAGTTTTCAGATCATAAATAGACCTTTATGCATAACGGTACTAGGTTAAATAGTCTTGGTGTGGCACTACTGGTTAATGTGCTGGACTGCAGGGTTAGTTCCTATTCAGGGTCATAAATTGGAAAGACTCAACAGCACTTAACAACAACAAGCTAATCTAGTAAAAAACCAAACACTTAATGCAACAAAAATTCTTGAGATTTCTTAAGCTAAACCTTAAGGCACTATTTCCAAATTAAGACTGACATGTAATGGTTTTAAGATCATAAATTGTATCATTTTTGACTCAGAATAATTTCTTGTGTTTAGATTCTGCTGGATTTGTTATAAGGGAATTAGCAATGCTTTTGAGTCAGTTATTGCTTTTTAAGCTTAAGCATGTATCAGAATCACCCATTTAAAAAAAAAAAAATCAAACCTACTGCCAATGAGTTGATTCCAATTCCTAGAGCCTTATGTTAAGTACCACTGTGTCATTTCTGGCCCATAGCAACCTTGAATAGGGTTTCTGAAGAGCGGCTGGTGAGTTTGAACCTTGCAGTGCAAACTGACATTGTGGTCTAGTGCATTATCCCACAGTGAGGTTAGCTGCCTAACTAACCACAAGGCTGTCAGAACTCCTAGAGAGCCCTGTAAGACAGTAAGACTACTCTGTAGGATTTCAGAGGCTGTAAATTTTTCACAGGAGCAGTCTCATCTTTGGAGCAGCTGGTGGGTTTGAACTGCCGGGTTTGCAGTTAGCCAGCCCAATGCTTTAAAAAAGTATTAAAACTTTAAAAGTTTATAATAGTTTATTGTAGTTTCAAAAAGCCTACTTTGCCACCAGGGTCCCTTCAGGATTACTCATGCTATAGTGCTGCATCCAGTTGAGGATTTCCGAGAGTGGCTGGTAGATTTGAACTGCCGATCTTGAGATTAACATTTCAGTGCTCATACCAGGGTTGGTTAAGGCTCAGGTGCTAGGCTTCACCCCTAGAGCTTCTGACTCAGTGGGTCTGGCTTTGGTTTGAGAATTTACATATTTCTGTAACAAGTTCCCAACTTATTACTAATGTTTCTTGATGACCACACTTTTGAGAACCACTAGCAAGCAGAGTATATCTCTGTTCAGATTCTATATAATGTTTCATGCTAATGTACATGTGGGTGCCATGAGTTAGGGATTCAGACAGATAACACAGTAGAGTTGGCTTCTGCTTCATGGGTGCTTGGGGCCCTAGCTGGAAAGGTAAAGGCTCAGTCACTCAGAGTCTTTCCATGTTACTTGGCATAGCATGGTGACCACAGAGTATGATGGCTCCGTATCAATGGGAAGCAAACAAGGTAGAGATGCATTGTGTTTATGATTGCTTTGGAAGTCACACATCATCATTTACATTATACTGTATTGATTGATGCAATCATAGGCCCACCCAGGCATGGGGGAGTGCCTAGGTCAGTCACATTGTCGAATTATGTATCTGGGGTGGGGTGAGGGGGGTCTGCAGATACTATAGCCATCTTTGGAAAATAGGATTTGTCATAGTTCTTGTATAAATACTAAATTTGTTATTGTGTAAAATATTGGAGCTTTTCTGCTGTAATTTGGAATTCATAGTGTACTGAACCACAAGGTCAGTGGTTCAAATTCACCAGCCATTCATTGGAACCCACTTGAAGGCACTTAACAACAATAACTCAAGGATTATTATTGGTGAAAGTCCTGATAATATCTTGAAAGCTGCATTCTAGTTTTTATTATGCAGACTAATGGCACTGCAAGATAAACTGGACTGCTAACTGTAAGGTCAGTGATTCAACCATTATCTGTTTGGATTGGTATGTTTTCTGTTTTCACATTAAGTAACAAAGTTAAGATTTGTGAAGTACTGGTGTGACACTTGAGGGTAAATGCTACCGTAAGGTGTAAGGTGGGTTTGAATTTCAAAGTCACCAGCTGCTCTTTGGAAACCCTTATATACAGGGTCGCTATGAGTCACTACTAAGTATGTTTGTTATGTGCCATCATGGAGATTCTGAGTCCCAGCAACCATTTAGGATTTCTTAGAAAGTAATCTGTAAGGTGTGGCACTGTAAGTAATGTGCGTGGCTGCGTGGTCAGTTTGAACTGCAAGGTTGGCAGTTCAAACTCAACAGCAGCTCCTCAGGAAACCATAAACAAGGTTGCTATGGGTCAGAACAGACTCGATGGCACTTAACAAGGATAAGAAACTATGTATAGTATAAAATTTATTGGGTTGCTTTAGGTCCCCCCCCCCTCCCATTTCTGCTTGGTTATTACCTATCACCCAACCTTTATGGGGTTCTGGTGGTGTAGTATAGTGGTTACAAGTTAGGCTGCTAACCTCAAGCTCAGCAGTTCAAAACAACCAGCTGCTCTATAGGTGATGCTTTCTGCTCCCGTAAAGATTTACTGTCTTGGAAACCCTATGCAGGGTCACTATGAGTCAGAGCTGACTCCAAGACACACTACCACCTAAACCTTATAGTAACAACTAAACTATTGAATGTGTTACATTACCTGAGTATCTTGCTTTTGGGGCCTTATCTGATAGTAGTAAGTAGTAGCCTGGGGAAAGCTCCATCTTTTTTTCCCTTGGGGTAAAAAAGTTGACCTTAAACCAAAGGTTAGTTTTCCATTTTCACTTCTACGCATTTAACTCTTTGTGATAAAATTAAAGCCAGTTCAAACACACCAGCTGTTCTCTGAAGCCCTATACTGGGTTGGAACTGAATCAACAGCACTTAGCAACAATACTGACTATATGGGAGGTGGTGGTAGCCTGAAAGTATCTCACATATAAGAACAAGGAATATTCATCAAAGACTGTATCCCCATGCTTTATTCAGGAAAAATATACTGGTGTGGAGGTGTGGCTTAACACACTCGCCAGCAAAAGTTGGTTTGATCTGCAAGGTTGGTGATTCAAGCTCACCAGCCACTCAAACCGTGTACAGGGTTGCTATGGGCCAGAACCAACTCGATGGCACTTAACAACAAAAACTACCACCTATTGAGATGAATTTTTGGGGGGAGGAAGGAGTGGGATGACAAAATTTTGGAAATTGAAGTTGTATATTGCTAATGTTGTTTCATCTTGGTTTTGCTCATCTTTCACAATGGTCCCCCTTCATGTTAATTAAAACATTTCTTGGTGTTAATTAGAACTTATTCTTTGTCTGCTCTGTTTATGAAATTTAGCACTTTGTAAATACTTGATATTCTCGCTTCTTGGGATAAGCAGGATCCCAACCAAATTTGGCCCTCACCCAGGTATGGGAGAACCAGATGCCTTATCTATCTGATGCATATCATTTTTTGGGACACATCCTAGTGGTTACCAAGTCCGGCTACGAACCGCAAGGTCAGCAGTTCTAAACTAACAGCTGTGCTGTGGGAGAAAGGTGAGGCTTACTGCTCACGTAAAGATATACAGCCTCGGAAACCCTGTACAGGGTTGCTATGAGTCGGAACTGACTCTGCAACACATAACCACCACCAAAGAGTAAGGAGTCCTAGTGCGGCGCTGTGGGTTAATGTACCAGACTGCAAAGCCGTTTGAACTGCAAGGTCGGCAGTTCAAGCTCAATAGCTGCTCCTTGTAAACCCTATACTGGGTCGCTATGGGTTGGAATAGACTGGACTGGCACTTAACAACAACAACAAAGAGAAAGCAGTGTTGTTTGTTTACAGTGTTTGGTATCAGCATTTTTGGAGTATGGTTGTGCTGCTTACATTCATTTGGGCATTATTAAGTGACGTTGAGTTGGTCTGACCCATAGCAACCCTGCATAGTGTTTCCTAGGAGCAGCTGGTGAGCTTGAACTACCAACCTTATGGTTCAAATCGACTGTACAGTCCAGCACATTAACCTACAGTACCACACCACGAATCCCACATGCACACCTGTGATGTCATAAGGGTGTAATAGAGCTAAGAAATTCCAATAGAATGGAATGTCTTGAGCAAAACTTGCCACAAACAAGGGATGTATCTTAAGTCTCTTGCATATGATTGTACAATGGTATATGAGGTACATATATAACTTGTACCATATTTCTTGATAGTCATATATCAAGCACCTATTTACTGGCATATGTGTGTACTGTACTTTATTGCTACTTTAACGTGAACTTTCTGTACTGTATGTGAATAAAAAGTTGAGTGTGTAACAGTGTATGCTTCCTAGGCAGCAGCATCCAATCTTACCTAGTGCATGTATTCTTTATAAAACTTACTGTGAAGTACATCATGGCTTCCTGAACACAGCAAAATTAGTGCTAGTTGGATAGCAGCAGCAGCAAGAGGCAAAGGAGAACAATCAGTTTAGAAATGAAGCAAATTGTTATTAAACATCATGAAGGTAGAAACTGAGTGAGAAATATATTTAAGAACATAATTGAGACAAACTTTAGAGGATTGAGTTTTGCCATTTTACCATTGTTTACTTTTATACTTGATGATAATACTTTTTATTTTCTTTTAAAATAGGGCAAGCTTGATGATTACCAGGAACGAATGAACAAAGGGGAAAGGCTTAATCAAGATCAACTGGTAAAGATGTTTTATTTTACTAAATAAGCAAATTAATTTTGTGGTTATACATCTAGTAAAATTGGGTTCCGTATCTGTCTTTTTAGGATGCAGTTTCTAAATATCAGGAAGTCACAAATAATTTGGAATTTGCAAAAGAATTACAGAGGAGTTTCATGGCATTAAGTCAAGATGTAAGTAAAAGATGGTATATGTAGTTATGCAATGTTAAAGGTTAGGTTAGGGAAAAGAAATGTTTCTTTGGGTTTTATTCTTTGCTATTACTATTGATAAGCACTCTGGATCTCAAATTTAAATTATCTAAAAAGTGAGAATTACTCAGTTATATCTAAGATGCCTTTCATTTTGGAAAGCTTTAATACAGCACCTGAAAGAGATACCTTTTAAAAGGATGGAATTTCATATAATACAAAGATTTATAATAATTACCCTAAAGCTCTCATTGTACATTTGTCTATTTATCTTATTATATATGAGCCAGACTGCAAAGCCGTTTGAACTGCAAGGTCGGCGGTTCAAGCTTACCAGCTGCTCCTTGGAGACCTTATATAGGGGCGCTATGGGTTGGAACCAACTTGACGGCACTTAACAACAATATGTATGTGTGTGGGTGTGTATTGTGGTTATGTGCCATGCAGTCAGTTCTGACTCATAGCGACCCTGTACAGGATTTCCAAGACTGTAAATCTTTACGGGAGCAGAAAGCCTCATCTATACATATACATAAAAATAAATGTCTACCAACATATATATTGACATTTGGTAGACATATATTTTTCGCCCATTCCTTTATGTTTAGTTACTTAACAATCTCATTAGCTGTCAGAAATCAAAAATACTTGTTAATATAATTGGTGATCACTCTTCCCATTAGGAATTTTAAGAAATGTGGCACTTTATTAACTAATCTAATGAAAGGGGTATTTGGTTTTTTCCTTAGTCACCTTTTCTACGACAGAAACCTTTGGGATCAGGATGAAAATGGAAGACAATGTCAAATAATTTGTTTAAAGTTGAGTCCAGAAAATAATAGCCTTCTGAATGTTGTTAGGTGCATTTGAGTTGATTTTGACTCTTAGTGACCCCATGTGACAGAGTAGAACTGCCCCATGAATTTTTTTTAGGCTGTGGTGTGGCTTTGTACTAATTGCAATGCCAGCATTTCAAACAGCCTCTTCTCAGGAAAGCTATACAGCGTTGCTTTGAGTTGGAACTGACACAATGCTAATACAAACAGCAGCAATAATCTTTCTATGAGCAGACCACCAGGTATTTCTCCTGCAGAGCTGCTGATTTCAAACTGCCGACCTTTCAGTTTGCAATTGAGCACTTAACCACAGCACCATTAGGGCTTACTTAAATCTTTTGGATAAGTGTCTTTTATTTGGAGAAAGATTAACATGGAAATATAAAGTTGCCTCTTGATTTGGTGAAATAGTGACAGAACAGTATACTCTATGATTAGAGACAATACAATGTATAAAGAGTAATACGCATTCTGACTTTGGAACCAGACTGTTTAGACTGAAATTTGTTACTGCCACTTTCATTGGTAAATTGTGTGACCTTATTTGAATAATTTTACTTTTTCCAGTTTTCCGTTCTATAACATGGTGATAGTAATAGTTCCATCCTCATAAGATTATGCTTAGAACAGTTTTGATGTGTAACTAATATTTCAAGCACTTAATTTTATCATTGCTTATTATATTTGATTAAAGATGGAAAACTTGATGATTTGCCTGAAAATGGAGAAAAGGAAATTTAATTTATACCCAGGTAGGGATTTGTTCCACTTACCAAATTAGGCCAGAACCTCAGGCTTGATGAACCCTGCCCAATTTCCTTCTTTTTTTTGAATCTGGGTCATAGGAAACAAGATGGTATATAATTAAATGTAGCAGGCATCTAATTCTGATGCTCCAATCACTCTGAAATTATTGTATATTTTTTCCTTCTGTTTTATCACTGGTGTGTATTCATCAACTTTTTTCTGGATTTCTAAACTTCATTTGGTTTTGGACAAATGTTGCCCTTTTCCTCTCGTATAGTTCATTATTTTACTTTCTTGACTTCTTTTTGCATTTTTGCCTCTTTGTATATTTTTTGCTTCTCCCTGAATGTGTAAAGCCCTTTCTATCCTTAAGTTGCCCTTCTCCCTCCTAGACTGAATGCTTACTAATTTTATGAATACATGTTTAAGTTTTTTCCTTTTTAACTTTCTGGACCATCTTAGCTTAGAGTGTTTGCATTTCTCTGCTCATGTATACTGTTCACTTGACGTATAATTTATTTTACTACCCTCTGTGCTGCCAGGATAGTCCTGGTGTGGCTCTGTGAATTAATGCGTTGGACTGCAAACTCGGTTTGAACTCCACAGTGGTGGCATTCAGGCTTACCAGCCGCTCCTCGGCAACCCTATACAGAGTCATTATGACTCTTAACAACCACAAGCTGCCATCAGAGACTTTTCTTGTCATTGAAGCCTTCATCATTCCTCGCAGGTCCAGGTGTCCCTTCCTCATTTCTCCCTTTTTTGTAAGTTTAATGTGTTGCAATTTTGTTTTTCTTAGTTTCACTTCATCCTAGTGATGCTCAGATAAAGGGGAAAAAGAAAGGTGGGATGGAAAACACTTCCTTGTCCATTGAAAAGACTAACCTTTTTCTGCTTCCAATATCTGATGCTAAACATGAGAAAGGAGAAGAGAAATGACTGAGTTTGGCTGATGTTCCTTTTACATTTTCAGGGAAGAAAGAATAGTTATAAAATACAGTCATGCCTCACTTTCTTACATCTTTTGCTACCACCTTGTTCTCTGACAGCGTCCCTTATAAAATAAAATCCTTTTAGTAACTTTTCAATGTGCAGAAATACCTTTATAATAGAAGCAGTGGATTACTTGGGAAGAGGAGTGTGTTAGTGGCAGATTTTATATAGCATCTTGAGAGTCAGTAGTAAGTACTTAAGTGAAAACTTAGGACAATATTCCATTTAGTAGCGATAACACAGGTAAGACTTTGTTGTGATTGTGGTGGGTTTCTTTATCAGCATTTATAGATCTGTAACATTTCAATAGGGAAACCGTGTTCTGAATTTATAACAGTAACTGCTTAAAATGGATCATGCTCTTAAAGTTTTTTGGTGATTTTAGGAATCATCTTATGAATAAAGGGTACAGCAAACTCAGTGAAATTTCTCTTAACTTAAATGAAACTGAACTAAATGAAGTTTAGAAAACTCACTTAAGTGCCTTAACTGTTTTTAGATCCAGAAAACAATAAAGAAGACGGCACGTCGAGAGCAGCTTATGCGAGAAGAAGCAGAACAGAAACGTTTAAAAACTGTACTTGAGCTACAATACATTTTGGACAAATTGGGAGATGATGAAGTACGAACTGACTTGAAACAAGGTTTGAGTGGAGTGCCGATACTGTCTGAAGAAGAATTATCATTGTTGGATGAATTCTACAAATTAGTGGACCCTGAACGGGACATGAGTTTGAGGTATAGGGATATTTGATAGTAGAAATTTCTAAATACTGTTGACTACGAAAAATGTAATTAATTTTTATTTGATTTTTTTACTAACTTTTATTATGTGATTATTTTATAAGATTGAATGAGCAGTATGAACATGCCTCAGTTCACCTGTGGGACTTACTGGAAGGCAAGGAAAAAACTGTATGTGGAACAACCTGTGAGTATCATTGATAACTTTGAATTTATAATTAACAATCTTAACATTTTTCTATTTAAATGTAGTGCAAACTGAAGAAAATCATAAAATTTAAATCATCTACTGTTTACATTTTGGTTTGTTTCCTTTAAGTGTCTTTTGTTAGTTAAAGGAAATTGTAAAAGTCTAAATTCATCTACTGTTTATATTTTAGTTTCTTTTCCCCACATGTCTGTATGCTGTGTATAAATCTTTACATAACTGATGAATTGACAGTCATGGCCAGTGAGTTAACACATAACCTTAATTATCGCAGCCAGCATTACTCTTCACCATGGAGCACTCTGGCTGCACTTCTTCCAAAACAGATCTATTGGTTCTTTTGGCAGCGCGTGGCATTTTCAATATTCTCCTCCAACACCATCACTCAAAAGCATCAATTCTTCTGTGGTCGTCCTTATTCACTGTCCAGCTTTTGCGTGCATTTGAAGTTATTGAAAATACCGTATTTTGGGTCAGGCGCACCTTAGTCCTCAAGCTGACCTTTTTTTACTCTTCCACACTTAAAAAGGTCTTGTGCAGCAGATTTGCCTAAATACAATAATACGTCGTTTGATTTCTTGACTGCTGCTTCCATGAGTGTTGATATTTGATCCAAGGAGAATGAAGTCCTTGACAACGTCAATCTTTTATCCTTTAAGAATGTTGTTTATTGGTCCAGTGTGAGGATTTTTGTTTTCTTTTCTTGAGATTTAATCCATACCTAAGTTCTATTCACTTTCAGCAAGCAAGGTTGTATCATCTGCATATCGCAAGTTGTTAAAAGAGTCTTCCTCCAATCCTGATACCACATTTTCCTTCCTATAACCCAGCTTCTTGTATTATTTGCTTAGCATATAGGTAGAATAAGTATGGTGAAAGAATACAACCCTGTGGCACACCTTTCTTAATTTTAAACCATTCAGTGTTCCCATGTTTTGTTCGAACAACTGCCTCTTGGTCCAGGTACAGATTCCTCATGAGCACAATTAAGTGTTCTGGAATACTCATACTTTGCAATGTAGTCCATAGCTTGTAATGATCAACACAATCAAAAGCCTTTGCGTAGTCAACAAAGCTCAGGTAAACAACTTTCTGATATTCTCTGCTTTCAGCCAAGATCCATCACACATCAGCAGTAATATCCCTGGTTCCACGGCCTCTTCTGAATCTGGCTTGAACCTCTGGAAGTTCTGTGTCTCAGTGTATGATTGTAGCTGTTTCTGTATTTACCTTTAGCAAAACTTTACTCGCATGGGGTATCAAAGAGGTTGTCCGATGATTTCTGCATTGTGTTGGGTCACCTCTTTGTAATGGGCACAAATAACATATCTCTTCCAGTCAGTCAGCCAGATAGTTGTCTTCCAAATTTCTTGGCAGAGATAAGTGAGTGCCTCTTGTGCTGCCTCACTTTCTTGAAAGATTTCAATTTGTATTCCATCAATTTCTGGTGCCTTGTTCTTTGCCAATTCCTTTGATGCCCCTTGGACTTCCTCCTTCAGTATCATTGGTCTTCATCATATGCTACCTCTTGAAACAGTTGAACATTAAACATGTCCTTTTGATACAGTGACTCTGGGTATTCCTTCCATCTTCTATTAATGCTTTCTGTATCATTCAATAATTTTACCAGAGAATCTTTCAATAACAAAAGTCGAGGCTTGGATTTTTTCTTCTGTTCCCTCAGCTTGAGAAATGTAGAGTGTTCTCTTTGGTTTTCTGATTCCAGATCTATGCACATTTTGCTGTAATATTTGGCTTATCTTCTCGAGCTGATATTTGAAATTTTCTGTTCAGCTCTTGGACCTCATTTCTTCCATTTGCTTAAGCATCTCTACGCTAGAGAGCGAGTTTCAGTATCTCTTCTAATATCCATTTTGACCTTTTCCTTCTTTCTTGTCTTCTTAATGACTTTTTGCTTTCTTCTTGTATGATGTTCTTGATGTCATCCCACAACTCTTATGGTCTTTGGTCTTCAGTGTTTAATGTATCAAATCTGTTCCTCAGATGATCTCTGATTTCAGGTGGGATATATTCAAGGTCATATTTTGGCTTTTGTGAACATGTTTTCATTTTCTTCAGCTTCAGTTTGAATTTGCATATGAGTAATTGATGGTCTGTTCCACAGTCTGCCCCTGGCCTTTTTTTGACTTATGATAGGGAGCTTTTCCATAGTCTCTTTCTGCAGATGTAGTCAATTTGATTTCTATGTATTCTACCTGGTGAGGTCCATGTATATACTCATCTCCTGTGCTGTCTAAAGAAGGTATTTGAAATGAACAAATCTTTGGTTTTGCAGAATTCTATCATGCGTTCTCCAGCATCATTTCTATCACCAAGGCCATATTTTCCAACTACTGATTCTTCCTCTTTTATCCCAACCTTTGCATTTCAGTCAACAGTAATGAGCAATACATCTTAATTGCATGTTTGATCAATTTCAGATTGAAAAAGTTGGTTAGAATTCTTCTAGTTCATCCTTAGCTTTAGTGGCTGGTGCATAAATTTGAATAATAGTGGTATTAACTGGTCTTCCCTGTAGGCTCATGGATATATTATCCTGTCACAGACAGCGTTGTACCTCCTGACTGATCTGGATGTTCTTTTTAATGTTGAATGCAACACCATTCCTCTTCAATTTGTCATTCCTGGAATAGTAAACCTTGTGGTTGTCAGATCAAAATGGCTAATACCAGTACATTTCAACTCATGCCTAAGATATTGATGTTTTTGTGTTCCATTTTATTTTTGACAACTTCCAATTTTTCCCAGATTCATACTTCGTACACTCCATGTTCCAATTTTTCAATGGATGTTTACAGCTGTTTCTGTTCATTTTTAGTTGTGCCCCATCAGCAAATGAAGGTTCTGTGGGCTTTTCTCCCATGGGCTTTTCTCCATTCATATCATTATGGTCAACTCTATGATCTTGTATGGGGACTTAAATCAAAGAGGCTGTATGTTAAGTGCCATCGAGTCGGTTCCGACCCATAGCGACCCTAACTAGGGTTTCAGAGGTGCGGCTGGTGAGCTTGAGCACCTACCTTGCAGTTCAGATGGCTTTGCAGTCTGGTGCATTAACCCACAGCACCACATCAGGACTCCAAGACCCTTAAAATAATCTGGTCTGGCCTTTTCAAGGCAACCACAGTTCCAGCCATCACATTATAGCAGGCTCACTTTTAAGTAGAAAATTTTTATGGCCCACAAATGATGTTACAAATATCCAAATGCCCGCTTGGGGAAAAAAAAAAGATCCCCCAGCCTTGTTCTAAGTAAGGAGTGTGTATCTCCCTGGTGTTACTTACTGTTCACGCTGTAGACCTGCTTAGTCTTTGTCTGAAAGTTGAAACAGGAGAATCTGTTCATTCCCAGGCCTGAAGAGTGACTAAGGACCATAGTCTTAAGATTTCACCAGTTTGTCAGACCAGTAAGCCTGGTCTTCTAGATTCTGTCTTGTTCCACCTTTTCCTCCCACACTATCTAGGACCCTCTATTGTGATTCCTTTCATAGTGGCTGGCAGTGGTAACCAGGGGAGTGTTTTGGGTTTCATGGTCATGGTGGCTGAAGTTCAAATGGTCCATTAGTCCTTAAAATTAATTGGTGTGTGTTTTCAGTTGGAGTTTTGGTGTGGTGCTGGAGATATGCATAACTTTTAAAAAAATTTTTTTTTTTTTAATTTTTTTTTTAAGATAAAGCTCTAAAGGAAATTGTTGAGCGTGTTTTTCAGTCAAATTACTTTGATAGTACCCACAATCACCAAAATGGTTTATGTGAGGAAGAGGAAGCAGCCTCAGCACCCACAGTTGAAGAACAGGTAGCTGAAGCTGGTGAGTACTTGGATGGATCTCAATTTTAAGTTTGGGAGTCTGGTTTTATTTTCCTTTGCCACAGGTCTGAAGTGTAGACTTTCTTAGTTATTACCTACCTATGTTCGTTCAGATTTTAAAAAGAAACTTTAAGCATGATAAAATATTAAGGTGAAATGCACAAATGTTAATTCTTGGTGGTATTGGATATTAGTCACTTATTTTAGTAGTGTGTTCTTGTTCTATTGCTGGACTTTGAATATGCATGGATGCTACTGATTATAAGACTTTTCAAATAGAATTTGTCTGACATGTCTTCAACTGAGTTGCTGTTTGCAGTGATAGTGCATGGGTTGGATAGTTCGTCTTTTTATCATGGAGCGATCCTTAACAGCAAGTGATCTTAACACCTAGCACAGCACTAACATCTAATAAGAGGAATTTACAAGTCTAAGTTCAGTGGAAACATTGTTGGAATGGAACATTTTTGTAATGGTTTAAAAGTGTGGATTCTAAATCATACTGCCTGGATTCAAATCTTGATTTTAGTCTCTACTACCTAATAGCTGTGTAACTTCGAGAAAATTACCAACCATCTTTGGAGAAAATAGGACCTTTGCCATAGAATTATTGTGCAGAATATAAAAAATAGTAAAAGGAAACAATGTATATGAGATGTTTATTTTAGAGGGCTTCAAAAAGTTTGTGGGAAAATTCTATTACTTTTCCATTCGATTTCCCCCCAAATTTTTTGATGCCTGCCCTTTTTGTATCGTGTTTGGAACATGGGTAAGAACGGGTATGATCTTGGTGGTGTTAATTGCTCTCGAGTCAGTTTGGACCCAGAGCGACCCTGTATAGGGTTTCTGGGAGCGAGCAGCTGGTGTGTTTGAACTATCAACGTGTGCTTCAAACTGACCTAGTGGTTGAGTGCTTAAACGACAGCACCACACAAGGACTCCCAAGAATTTGTATAAAGCTAGCTAATAAATGAAACTGTTAAATGCAGTCAAGTCAATTCCAACTTCTAGTGGCCCTATATAGGGCTTCCTAGGAGTGGCTGGTGAGCTAGAACCACTAACCTTGTAATCTAGCATGTTAGCTCACAGTGCCACACCAGGGAAGATTATGTATTAGTGGGTCATGCCCTTAAATCAACTTTAAAGAGTCTTAAGTAAATGATGAAGTCTCTGTAAATTTATTACTGTAAGGGTGGTAAAACACAGAAATTTACTGTTAACTAGTAACTTTGTAACAAACAATGATTTATAATGGTAATTTACCTAACTCATTTTGAGTTTCAGTTGAATTGCTGACAAAAATTTTAAGATTTCTTCACAGTTTTTTTGTATAATTTTTTTTTACCTTTTAGAACCTGAGCCAGCAGAGGAATATACTGAACAAAGTGAAGTTGAATCAACAGAGGTAGGATTTTTTTTTTTTTTTTTTTTTCCAAATGCTCCTTTTCCCTTTCTGCCTTTTTCTACAGAGGTCTCAAAACATTTGCTTTGCTTTGCAGTATGTCAATAGACAATTCATGGCAGAAACACAGTTCAGCAGTGGCGAAAAGGAGCAGGTAGATGAGTGGACAGTTGAAACAGTTGAGGTAGGTAAGAGTGCTGAAATTCTTTGTGTTATAAGGTTGAAGTTTTTGTTTAATATTTTTTATATTTCCTGAGAACCATTAAGATGATTGTTTTATTTTTGCATTATTGGTACTTTTATTTTTTAAATGATTTGTTTATCCCTATGCCCTGTAGATGTTTAATGTAATCACTTTGCTGATGTGGTTACAAAAATTGTTTGCAAAAGTTTCTCTAGGTTAGTTGACAAATGTGAAGTAACCCAATTGGTCTATTACTGTTGTTAAGTGCACAGTCAAGTCTGTTGCAGTCCAACTCAATTATAGGATTTCTGAGGTGTGACTGGGTGGGTTTGAACCACTGACCTTGTGGTTAGCACACTTTAGTGCTTAGCCTACAACACCCCACCAGGGCTCCTTACTGGCATAAGGTTATTCTATAAGAAACCAGGATCCCGTGTGGTTAATCTTCATTCAGAAAGACCTCCTTGGGTGAGGGGTGCTGGGCGGAGCTATGACACTAAATTCATAGGGGTTGTGGGGATGTCATCTTGAACTCTTCTTTCCACGTAACTTAGTCTGTGTGGCTACAGACTGTAGACTTCGTGGAGTATGAAGTTTTATTTTTGTTTTTAATTATTTCCCTACTGACATTAACCTTTTTCAGGTCATTATCTCTGTTTCATTAGTCCCATTTATAATTTCCTTTGATTCCCAGTGAACTTTGTTGTTGGTTTCAGCTCACGGTGATCCCCTTTGTATTGAGTATCTTTATGGAAGCATATCACGGAGGATATGAATTTGAACCTTTTGGTGACCTTGCACCACTCTTGGTTAACTGCTACCATTTAGTTAATTTTTGAAACAAAACTTTGATCAAGTTCCTTTGCTTGAACACTTCCCCATTATACTGTTTCTTTAGGTGGTAAATTCACTCCAGCAGCAACCACAGGCTGCATCTCCTTCAGTACCAGAGCCCCACTCTTTGGCTCCAGTGGCACAGGTAGATCCCCTTGTGAGAAGACAGCGAGTACAAGACCTTATGGCGCAAATGCAGGGGCCTTATAATTTCATACAGGTATATACTTTTTAGTCAAATATGATAGCAGAGAATTTAGGTGTTTGTTTGAGTTAATGTCTTCATATCCTACCTTAATTTGTAGGATTCAATGTTGGATTTTGAAAACCAGACACTTGATCCTGCCATAGTATCTGCACAACCCATGAACCCTACACAGAACATGGACATGCCCCAACTGGTGTGTCCTCCAGGTTAGTAATGGTGCATGTTTATATGAAACTGATTTGTAAGGTTTATGGTCAGTACTTTGGGGTATTAATGAAGTTTTTGAAAATTTTTCTTTTTCTTCCTTTTACTGCTTGCTTAATTTTTGGATCTTGTATCTTTTAATATATGAAACACTCTTGTGTTTTCTGTAATATGAATTTTATAATTTCATTGGACCGAAGAGGCAAAAATATGAGACACACATTCCGCTCACAATTTTCTTAGCTAGGTTTGACAGTCCACTGATCGCAGTGGCCACATAGGACTTAAACATTGTACTCAACTGTTAGAGGGTTTATTACGGAAGTTAATAGGACAATTCAGGGTCAGAAATGCTCAGAGCACAGTTGTTCCTAGTCAGCTGCTGATAAATGTCAGTGGGTCACACCAGTCCACCCATCAGCTTCAGTCTGATGAAGGCACTTGGCTCTAGTTCCCCTATGTAAGTGCCTGGAGGCACCCCACTCTACAAGCAAGCTGCTTGCCCAGAGTCACTCTTTACTTGCTCTGTGGGCTGGGAAGTCCATTGCCATGTCTTGTGCTCTGGTTCTTGGTTCTGCTCCTTTGTCACTCCTTTGGTATCACAGATTTCTGTTCCTGGGTCAAGAAGGTTCATTGTGCAGGGATCTCAGGGGCCAAAGGATTCAGTGCACTCCTGGCTCTTTGATGCTAATGAGATTGCCCCCTCCTGCTTGTGAGATGCTGCTGGCTGCTATAAGTACCTCTGAGTGGCTTCCAGGGTATAGGGACTCTGCATAGGCTTGCCAAGGAGCAGTTGGTGGATTCCAACTGTTAACCTTTTCGATTTTAAACCCATGCTAATAGTTTCAAGTTTTTATAATTATAATTAACTCTGCTGACATACACAGCTGAATCATGTCATCCTATCAATATCTTTTCCCACCTTCTCTTACCCAGGCCCAGCAGAGCAGCAACGTTGTTTGGTGGGAATTAACAGATTATGACAAGAAGAGAGATTACATGATTTTTACTGCACTACAATAGACACAGATCCATTCAATTGTACATACAATTTGATGGATTTTTATAAACACCCAGATCAAGAAACATATTGCCACCACTTTAGAAGCCCACTTGTGTTCCCTTGTACTCTGTGTTTCCCCCTGCTCACCTTATCCCATGATGATACCGTTTATTGATTTCTAACACTACAGATAATTTTGCCTGTTTGAAATTTCCAAATTTACCTAGAAATAAAATAATAGAAGTGTCTTTCTCTGAAGGATGCTTGAGGCTTTCTAGGACAAATTTTGAACCTAAATAAAAGTGAAGTGCAGTAACAAAGTGGGAAGGGAACAGAATGTTTAAGGTGAAAGGGAAAGAGAAATCAGAAGGTAGTTGAAGTCTTACTTGTCCTACACTTTGAAATAATTACTTAAATTTAAAGCATTGTCACCTTGCATTGGTTAAATGGACCTTCTCTCCAGGACCATTAGTAATTTTGAGTCTTATTTATTTATTAAGTTTTTATTGTGAATTGAGTGGAAGTTTATAAGGCAGGTCATCAGTTTTGCATTAAAAAAATCATACACTTTGTTTGATTACAATGATTATAATTTCCTCCATGTAGCATCAAATAACAGTATTTCTCTATTCACTTTGGCTCTTTTTTTTTTTTTTTTTAAAAACACTCAGGCATGTGTAATAATTAATACCACCAAAGGGCACATTCTGCAAGTCTGCTTCCTGGCCGCCAGTTTTCAGTCCCTCTCTTTCCATGAATCTAGAGTCTTCAGCTGCTCACTCTCTCCTTCCTTTAAAATTGTGACAGTCAAAATTACTGATGATAACTATTACTCACTATTGAATCATAAAAATCTTATCCCCATCTTTATTTTTACCAGACCCATCTAGACAAGATAAAAACTATTCAGTGTAGGGACTTTCTTCCCCCCCCCACTCTTAAACTAAACTCTCTCTTGAAACCTTGTAAGCCAGTCACTTTGTGCCTTTATTGGTCCCCCCACCCCCCATTTTAGGTAGCCAATGTCTAAGTTGCCCGTCCCTATCTAGCCTGTGTACAGAGGGGATAGCATTGATAACTGATACTTGATGTTAAGACTCCTTCCCTCTCTGTTGGAATTTAGAGTTACTGCCTCAGTGAGTATAGGGTCAAGTTCATCAAATTGTAGTGATTTACCCTCACTTCCTTTATCAAAAATTGCTTGTTGTTTTTGTTTTTGATTTTTAAATCTTCCTCTAGTCGAGTTCTGAATATCAAGCCGTTGAGGCTAGGTCAGATGGGTACTCTGCAAGTTTGGGTGTTATTGTGTATCTCCCCTCACTTCATATCAGCTGGATGCTTCACTCTTGGCACTAGTCTTTGTCCATGGGCTCAGGTGTCCCCAGGTTCTTAGTACATTTTTGCATGTTACTTTACTCTTGAAAAATCCAAAATGAAATGAATCATTTAGAGTTGAATAATAATCACTCTCCACTGAACCAAAATACCCATGTGAAAACCGGTATACAATTTAATGACTGTTAAAATATTTATTATGGCTATTGAAATCAGTTTTTAGCAACCAAATAAAAAGTATTTAGCTACCTCTTAAGAAATATTTTGTATAACTAGTTTTTGTCAATTTTGTAGTTCATTCTGAATCTAGACATGCTCAACCTAATCAAGTTTCTGTACAACCGGAAGCTACACAGGTAAGAGTGATAACATTTTTTTTCAGTTCTTTATTTTTGGTGAAAATATACACAGCAAAACCAGTTGCATTTATATGTCGTTTTTGACTTTTTATTGCAAATTGGGTAAAGGTTTACAGAATAGATCATTAGTTTTACATTCAACAAATCATACATCATTTCATCCCATTTGTTGTAATCCCCTTAATGTAATGTCACTTATCCCTGTGTTTCTTGCTTCTGTTCCTCCTCCTTTCTGAAGCCTCTGGACTTTACCTTTGGGTCAGTGCTGCCCTTTTGATCTTGAATCATTGTGTACATACTGTGCTATGTTGTCCCCCCATTGTTGTTGTTTATGTGCTGTCAAGTTGGTTCCAGCTCATAGCGACCCTGTAGAAACTTGGAGACACTTGTAGGTTTGAGCTTCTGACGTTGTGGTTCTCATTCCAGTGCTGAGATCATGCAGCACCACACTTGTTTGACTGAAAATTGAGCCAGGGGCGTGGGGTTGGAAAGGGCAGTTTCAGACACGAAGGGCTTATAGTCTCGGGTTCCGCCTCTTTATTGTACCAGTAAACCTGGTCTTCGTGGATTTTTGCTCGAGTAAAGATTTCCAGCCTTAGAAACCCTATATAGAGTACATATGAGTTAGAATTGGTTCAATAGCCCTTAACAATTACAAATTTGTACTCATTAAGTTGGTTTCATAGATAAAATATATTGATTATTTTACTTCTGTCTAGGTTCCTTTGGTTTCATCCACAAGTGAGGGATATACCTCTTCTCAGCCCTTGTACCAGCCTTCCCATGCTCCAGAGCAACGACCACAAAAGGAACCAATGGACCAGATTCAGGCAAGTTCTATTTCCAGGTCGTATGAGGCATGTAATCATTAACTGGGCAGGGGTAAATTGCTATTAGTATAGTAACTTTTACTTTTTTATTGAATTCATAAATTTTAGTGATTTCCTTTTATGAAATTGTTGAGTTTGTGGATTTAGGTGAGTACAGTTTACCACTAAATTGTATCTGTTCACTTTGTTTAGGCCACAATCTCTTTAAATACAGACCAGACTACAGCAACATCATCCCTTCCTGCTGCGTCTCAGCCTCAAGTATTCCAGACTGGGACGAGCAAACCTTTACACAGCAGTGGGATCAATGTAAATGCAGCTCCATTCCAATCCATGCAGACGGTAAGCAAATTAGTTCAACAAAGTGTCTAGTATGTATTGTGTATTATACTAGGCTCTCAACAAAAAGTCTTGATTTAACTTTTTGCTTGAAATTATCCAGTTGTCTTGGTTCCAACTCATTGACTTTGTCTTGTGTAGAGTTTCTGAGGAGTAACTGGTGGATTTGTTTGAACCACCAATCTTTCAGTTAGCGTTCCACTATTTATCCTACAGCTTCACACTAGGACTCCATCCTTAACTGTAGGATGAGTGTACTTAATGGAAAATAGACTTATCTCAAGCCCCATAGAGAAATCTGAGTCTTTCATCTCCTTAATGTATTTATTTTGGCTTTACTTTTCTATTGTAATTGTGGGAGATATATATGTAGTAAAACATTTGTCTACAAAATTTCTTCATCATATTGTCCTGCACAGAATACCCAGAAAAGTAGACTAGGCATTACCTAGATTTAATAATCATTTATATTTTATCATATTTGCTTAATTTTTCTCAAGATATTTCAAAGTAAATTTTAGACATTAGGATACTTTAACCATGATTCTTTAATAAGCATCTCTAAATTGCTGAAATTCTAGAAAACAATGATGTATGTGCTCCATATCATAATTGTGGATATACAGATAAATCGGTGCTTAAGTGAAAGCTCATAGAGTTAAATTCAAAATATTTTTCTTAAAGATTTTTTTATTCCTATCTCCTGGTGTGGCACTGTAGGGATAAGCATTGGATATCAAGGTCAGCCGTTCATCTCACTAGCCGCTATCATTCTAACTCTGATAAGTGCTGTATGGTACATATATCTTTATCCACATTGACATGCATAAATTAAAAGGGATTTTTTTTGAAAAATACTTGTTAAGTGCTGTCGAGTCAGTTCCAACCCATAGTGACCCTGTATAGGGTTTCCAAGGAGCAACTGATGAGTTTGAACTGCCGACTTTGCAGTTCAAATGGCTTTGCAATCTTGTGCATTAACCTGCAGTGCCACACCAGGACTCCTTTTATGAAACTATGTGTGTGATACTCTTGTAATGTTCTTTGTGTTTTAGTAAAAACCTGCATTAACTGTGTTAAAAATAGAGAAATTGTTAGCATAAATGGATGAACTAATCATTTAATTTATCCGCATACAGGTGTTCAATATGAATGCCCCCGTTCCTCCTGTTAATGAACCAGAAACTTTAAAACAGCAAAATCAGTACCAGGCCAGTTATAACCAGAGCTTTTCCAATCAACCTCATCAAGTAGAACAAACAGAGCTTCAGCAAGAACAGCTTCAAACAGGTAGAAAAATTAGTGTCATTTTATTAACTATTTTCATTTCATTATGATGATGTTAAGTTTTGTGAAGTCATTTCCAATGCATAGTGACCTTGTATAGGGTTTCTGAGGAGGAACCTGGTGAGTTTGAACCACCAACTTTATGGTCCAGTGCTTATCCTACAGCACCATACCAGTTACTGACTATTAATGACATCAGAGACTACAATGCCATTTTCAAGAGTTACTTTTAGTAATATAAGACATGTGAATACTTCATTGTTGTTACTGAGTTAAAGCAGGTTCATATTTATTGCATGTGAACTGCATATATTTTGTAGGCCTTTTGTCCAGTAACTTTAATGCCCATATTTTGGTATATATTTTTCGTGGAATTAAACTTGTTAAGTAAATTTTACTTTTATTTGCTCATTGATTCACTCCTATTAGTGTGATACCTAAGGAATCCTGGTTGTGTCACATGTCAGGCTGTTGAACCGCAAAGTCAGCAGTGTGAATCCACCAGTTTCTCTGTGGTTTTGAAAAAGTTGAGATTTGCTGTGAGTTGGCACATACTCTCCCTAGCAAACCACCACCACCAGTATGACATCTGGCAGAAAATCAAGTAATCATCAGTAGGTAGATTGGTGCTCATTGTGTCAGTTTAATTAGTAAAACTTGTACAAAAATCACAAATGGTGGTTTAGTTTTCTTGCAAACAAACATTATGAACTGATAATTTATGTAGGGTTTTTGTGAGGTTAAAATAGGTCAGAAAAAGATTTTCAAGTCATTACAACTTCTCTTTTCTGCCCAAACATGGGAGAGAAAAGGCCATGTGAGTCTGGCTAGAGGCTTCAGTGGCCATTATTGTTCCTGAGGGGTGGACCTTTCTTTGTTCTGCTACTTCCCTCACCTCCCAAAGGTACTGTTGCCATCTGCTTACTTTTCCTGCTGTGAACTAGGAACATTGATATAAGACTGAAAATGTATCTCCATATTTTATTTTTGAAAGTTTCTAGTTTGTTAGCACTTAACTCCATTGTGGGGGAAAGGGATGTAAGACATACTGTGCAAATCTTCGAGTGTGTTGAAGACAACTTTGAAATGGAATCTTACGATAAGGTTTCTTTCTGATTTAGCTCTATAATTGAATTTTCCATCAGAATTAGCTATCTGTGGAAGAGCATGTTTTGTGTAGTTCACCAAATACCAAGGGAGGTTTATAAGAAATGGTTACCCATTAAAGAGCCTTATAACAAAGAGAAGTCACTAAATGACAATTGTACTGTTGAATTCTTGTTAGCCTCTAGTTAGTATCAAAAGGTGGAGGCCTGGTTTGGCATTATATAGAATAAGTATTGAACTGTTAACCACGAGGTTGGTTAACTAGCCACTTCTTGTAAACTCTATATAGTTGCTATGAGTTAGAACCTACTTGAGGACACTTAACAACAACAGAAAGGTAGATGCAGGTACTTGTCAGTGTAAGGTGTTTAGTAGTGTTGTTGGTGCCTTTGAGTCAATTTACAAAATAGTTCACCCTGTCTTTCTCCTGTGGAGAGCTAATGGATGTGTTTGAACTGCCTTTTCAGTTAGCAGTCAAATCTTTAAGGGCTCCATAGACACTTAATGTTAAGTGCTATGGGTTCAGATAGCAGCCCTTTCAGGGTTTCCAAAAATGACAGGTGGGTTTGAACTGCCAACCTTATGGTTAGCAAACTAGTGCTTATCCTATAGCGCCACACCAGGACTAGATAAGAAAAAGAGAACTTAATTTTATAATGTCATTTTCCTTGTACATTTCTTTAAAGACCTAATTAAACTTTTAGACTGAAATAAAGCACTGCCCAGGCAAGGTTGGTTTCAACCACAAGGTTGGTGGTCCAAACTCAACAGCTGCTCCTTGGAAACCATATACAAGGTCACTATGAGTTGGAAACTGACTAGACAACACTTAACAACAACAAAGTCAGAAGAGTGGGAGAACAGATAGTAAGCTTTGTTCTCATGCGTAAGTATATATATGTGTGTGTGTGTGTGTGTTTTGTTTTTCCTTTATTATAGTGGTTGGCACTTACCATGGTTCCCAGGATCAGTCCCATCCAGTGACTGGTAACCACCAGCAGCCTCCGCAGCAGAACACTGGATTTCCACGTAGTAGTCAGCCCTACTATAATAGCCGTGGTGTGTCTCGTGGAGGCTCCCGGGGGCCCAGAGGCTTGATGAATGGATACCGGGGCCCTGCCAATGGATTCAGAGGTAAATAATTTTAATAAACAAGTTGGGTGAGCTTTTACTACTTTTAAGGTTCTGTTCTGATAATGCTTTAAAAAAAAAAAGTTTTGATTTGGAGTTTTTTGAAGCTAGAAAATAATTTTCTTATCCTGTATTTTAGGTGGCTATGATGGTTACCGCCCTTCATTCTCTAACACTCCAAACAGTGGTTATACGCAGTCTCAATTCAGTGCTGCCCGGGACTACTCTGGCTATCAGCGGGTAGGTAAAGCGATATTAAATCTAACTTAAGTAAACCAATGATGGAAGTGATAATTGGCAAAATGGATCTCAGTAACTTGAGCATTTACTTATTTTTTATTATGAGCACTTAGTAGAACTCATAAAGTCTTAAAGACAGTGATTCACCTTTTTTTAATGCTAGAAAATGCTTATGAGAATAGATTAACTGGGATACTGAAATATCTGGGAGAATAAAGAAGAATGATTCTGTGTTTTACAAACACAGATACATGGTTAGATTAAAAAAAAAAATTACATTTTCTATTCAGTACTAACTAGTTTGTCTTTTAGGATGGATATCAGCAGAATTTCAAGCGAGGCTCTGGGCAGAGTGGACCACGGGGAGCCCCACGAGGTAATATTTTGTGGTGGTGATCCTAGCTCCTAATTGGAGCTTCTGTTCTGGCCTTGGAAGAGAGCTGTTCATAGTCTGCATGAAGGTTATATGTTAGGAATACATTTATCCTTTCTAGACTTGTTGCTAGGGATTAAATGAAATGCTCTGTTTCTAAACTTAAATCCAAATTTTAATTTTTTGAATGATATTCCCTGTTACTATATATACTGTCTTGAAAATTAAAACATTTTCTCCTTGTTAGAAAAAGTGTTTTTCCAACTGGAAATTATTTTTAAGGGCCAAAAACCTGCTAAATGTTTTTAGGAAGTACTTACTGAAACATTTTTGTAAGACATTTTTGGAATGAGATTGAACATTTATATAAATTTATTATTCCTCTTTAATTTTTGAAACATGCTTATTATATTTTAGTGCCAGAAACCTTTTAATGGCCAGAAAAGGTGTAGTAGTTATATTTAGAGAACCATTTAGAAGCGATAGAACAAATTGAACTTTCATTGCCTTTTGGGCAAAATTACATAATAGTATGTTATTTCTGGTTTGTAAACAAAATCCTTAACTTCCAAACTAATGTAAAAGTTATATTCTGGAAGTACCTTTTTTTTTTTTTTTTAACTTTTTAAGTTAGAAAAACTGCTTTCTGTTGGGAATTTACTTACCAGTCAGAGCTAGCATTTCATAATCTAAAGTTCTAAATGGCTCTCTGATTTGGGTGCAGTTAAATGACTAAAATCCTCTGGACATTGGCCATGACTTGTATAAAATGTGTTTTAAAAGAGGTCTTGCATAGTACTTTGATTTCAATGCTGGCAGAAATTGAACAACAGAAAGGTGCATTTTTTTTTAAAGATTTATTTAAGGATCACTTGGAAATTACTGACTTGAAATGTCAAAGGACATTTGCATGTGAATGTAGGTTATGTTCTTTCTCACTTTGTAGCATATTTTATGAAAGTTGAGTTAACTGGTAGCTACAAATGTTTTAACAGCATGTATAAAGTTATTCTATCTGTTATAAGTCATTATACAACTTTGAATGTTGTGTAGTTTATTTTTTAACAGTTTAGATAATAAGGTCTGTTTTCATTCTGGTGCTTTTTATTAATTTTGATAGTATGATGTGACTATTGAAATGTAAGCTAGCGTGTACATTAGAATGTAAGCTCCATGAGAGCAGGTCCTTGTCTGTCTCCACTGCTGTATCTATTCCCAACGCCTGGTGATAGTGCCTGTCACATAGTAGGCACTCAATAAATACTTGTTGAATGAATGAATGAATGAGTACTGGTGGAATACTCCATTAGCTCTACTCTTCTTTTGGTAGAGAACATGCACAAATTTATGCATGACAGCTCCCAGGGCAGGTGAAACTTGAACACTGAAGAATTGACCTCTTAAACCTAATAATGTGGTGACAAACTGCCCACATGCTTCTTGACTTCAGATGAAAATCTGCTTGAAGGCAAAACAAATAATATTTGAAAGAAAAACCAAATGCCATTTTTGTCTTCTAGGTCGTGGAGGGCCCCCAAGACCCAACAGAGGGATGCCGCAAATGAACACTCAGCAAGTGAATTAATCTGATTCACAGGATTATGTTTTAATCAGTCGCCAAAAACACACTGGCCAGTGTATCATAATGTCACCAGAAGAGTTATTATCTATTTGTTCTCCCTTTCAGAAAACTTATTGTAAAGGGACTGTTTTCATCCCATAAAGGCAGGACTACAATTGTCAGCTTTCTATTACCTGAATATGGAAGGAAACGATTTTTACTCTGCATGTTCTGTCCTAAGCGTCAACTTGAGCCTTGCACATGATATTCTGATTCCTCACCCTTGCTTAGGAGTAAAACATATACCTACAGGTGATAATATCTCCACAGTTTGAAGTGGTTTGGAAAAAGCAAGATTGACTTTTTTTGACATTGGATGAAATCTACAAATCAGCCCTAGTGTTGTTCAATGGTAATTGATGAAACTAAAATACTTGTCATGAAAGGAAGATGGAAGGAACTTATCCAGTTAAATTGAAGCATTGGACATTTAGATCTATACCAAATTATGCATGGGCCCTTAATCACACATAATACGGCTGACTACCAGTTTTGACACAGCACTGTTCATCATCTAGTCAAATGACTTTCAAAAAACAAAAACATGTAAATTGCTTTTCAACAGCTGATACTGTATAAGACAAAGCCAAAATGCAAAATGAGGCTTTCATTGGCACTTTTTGAAAAATATGCAACAAATAATGGGATATAATCTGGATGACACAATGTGAAGTATTTAGATACCTTTTGAACACTTACAGTTTCTTTGACAATGCCTTTTGTAAGATTTGGTACTTTATATCATTCCTTATGACATGGGCATTGTCTGTCACTAATCCTTGGATTTTGTACTATTGTCACCTAAATTGGTACAGGTACTGATGAGAATCTCTAATGGATAATCGTAACACTTTTGGTCACAAGTCTTTCCTGCAGCCTGAAGGTTTTTAAAAGAAAAAGATATCAAATGCCTGCTGCTACTACCCTTTTTAAATTGCTATCTTTTGAAAAGCACCAGTATGTGTTTTAGATTGATTTCCCTGTTTTAGGGAAATGACAAGTTAGTAGTTTTAAGTTTTGATGGTATAAGTAAAACAAATAAAACATGTTTATAAAAGTTGTATCTTGAACCACTGGTGTTCAACAGCTAGCAGCTTATGTGATTTATCCCCATGAATTGTTAGCATCACCAATTTTATGATGGTCTCCAGTAGCTTTTTTGTAGTATGTGTGCTTCTTTTCTCTAATTTAACTCTAACGGAATTCTTTTTTCATGGAGGCATTTGTATTGAAAGTGATTTCTTTCCTTAGCTGCATAGAGAGATCATAGACTCAGCTTAGATAATGATGGCGGTGGACAGTTGAGTAGTAATTTAGTTTATGTACTATGTTGGAATTTGTGCTAGCAGTTTGAGCACTAGTTCTGTGTGCCTATGAACGTTATGCTGCTTTTGTTGGATCCTACTTCAACTTCATGGAGAATAAATCCCATCTATGGAGGAAAGGCTACTAATACAATGGTATTTTCTGTGCAAAAATTGAGTTGTATTTTCAGCCTTTGGCTAAGGATTTTTTATAGTTGGTGCTCAGCTACTTTATTTTTTTATTTTATTTTATTTTTTTTTAAGTAATTATTTTACTGTGCTTTAGGTGAAAAGTTTGTGTAAACAAACCTAATTTGTTTATGCAGCAAATTAGGTTCCCATTTAACACTTTTATAGGATTGTGCCATTGGCTACAATTTTCACGTGTCAGCATTCTCACTTCCATTCTGTTCTGTTTCATTGATCTGGCTTTCCTTCCCTTTTATGCCTTTTCCTCTTTAAATGTTGACTGTTTCATCACATATAGTCCTTTATTTAAGATAGCAGTATACTCACAGATGATGACTTTATTTTATATACCTAATCCACCTCTGAAAAGTGACTACAGAAATAGCTTCAGATCCATGTTCAAAGATTTTTTTTAGGATAAGTCTCTGGGTTCCTCTAAATTGCTCCATTAGGTTTGGCCTTTTTTTTCCCCCAAGAATTTGCCTTTGGTTTTACATTATTCTCCCATTCTCTCCAGCACCTTTTATTGTAACCCAGGTCAGAACAGGTGGTAGTGAGTTAGTACCATTTACTTCTGGCTTCAGGTTTAGAAGAGGTTGAGAATTGTGTAGGTTGTTAGTCCTGTGGACTAGTTTCTTAAGCTTTTGATTTCCTTCTTTCTTGTACTCCAATTGAATAGAGACCAATCATTGTATCTTAGATGGCTGCAAAGTTGTAAGGCCCCAGACAGTATTCAGCAAACTAGGATGTGGTAGAATGTTACATTTGTGTACTGCGTTATACCAATTGATTTAAGCTGGCCCCTGAGACTGGACTCAAAGCCTTTTGACCCAGACCCATGAAACTAGTTCTGTGAGATGTTTGACTATGTCCAAGAAGCCTCATCACAAGTCTCCGTATGTGGTTTGTGATATGTGTGGATATACGAGGGAACTTCAAAAAATTTGTGGAAAAATTCCATTATATTTTAATTCCATTTTTCCATTAACTTTTTGAAGTCTCCTTGTATATGCAGCAGATATATGCCTACAGATACACATGTATGTATATTTACTCATATATGCCTTCCTATACAAGCATTCATCCATATTTACCTATGTAATCACATTTTTTGGTTGTTCTTACTGTTACAAAACTATGTATGTATATATGTTACAGCATTACCGAAATTGTCCCTTTTTCTTGTGTACTTAGTATCTTTGTTTACCTTAGTTAGGTACTGACTTCACCCATATTTGAGATTGCCTTTCCCATCAACAAAAGTAACAAGCATCTACTATATAGAAAGGGACTCCCTTTTCCTCTCCTTACATCCCTAGTAACCATCAAGAATGGTCCTCTGTATCTTTTTTTTTTTTTTTTTTTCATTATGTGGGACCATGCCCTATTTGTGGCTTCCACCCCTCGTGATTTGGCTTAGTTTACTCAACATAATGTCCTCCAGATTTGTCTATATGCTTCACAAACTCATTGTTCTTTGCATAGTATTCCATTGAATGTATGTACCAGTTTATCCATTCTTCAGTTGTTTCCATCTTTTTGCTATTATGAATAATATTGTGATGAACATAGATGTGCATGTCTTTTTGTGTCACTGCTCTTAAATTTCTAGGATACCTAGGAATGGGATTGCTAGATCACAAAATATTTCTATTTCTTAGCATTTTGAGGAAGCATTGTACTGTTTAACATAGTGGGTGTACCATTTTACAATCCCACCAGCAATATAAGCGTTTCAGGCTACCTATAATCTTGCCAGCATTTGTTTTCTATTTTCTTGATCATTGCCATTTTTGTAAGGGTGCCATTTTGGTTACCTTATTGTAGTTTTGATTTGTATCTCGCTAATGGGAGTCCGGAGTCCTGGTATAGCACTGTGGGCTCCAAGGTTGTTTTAAACCGAAAGTTTGACTGTTGTAACTCACCAGCCGCTCCTCAGAAACCCTATAAAGGGTTGCTATGAATCAGAATCGACTCCACTACACTTAACAACAACAGTGGGACTCCTGTAGGATAACCACTGGCCTGTTAACTATAAGGTCAGCGGTTCAAACCTACCAGCTGCACCTTAGAAACCCCTATACAGGGTTGCTATAATAGTCATAAAGACTCCATGGCACATAACAACAGTGGCTAATGAAGGGTCCTGGTGTGCTATAACAGAATAAGCACTTGGCTGCTAACCGCAAAGTTGGCAGTTCAAACCCACCAGTAGCTCCTTGGAATCCTTATACAGGGTTGCTAGAGTTGAATTGACTCCACAGCACCTAACGACAACAGTTAATGAAGGAACTCTGTTGGTGCAATGGGTTAAATATTGAGCTGCTAACTGATAAATACAGAAATTAGGTCCTTATTGGATTTGTCATTGCCAAAGATTTTTTTCTCCTAGTTCTCTTGTTACTTTGCTAAAGTCTTACCATCATAAGTATTTTGTTTCTAGGAAGTCCCAGTTACCTAACTTA